AATTTGCTTCGGGAAATTTGAAAAAAAAAGTTTTTTAATGTCAAAAATAATGTTATTCGCTGGTGCCTTAGAAACATATGTTTATTAACTTAACATGTTGTATCCAATTTTGGATGTTTGAATCAAATCATGACTTAACCCTGAAATTTCATAGGGTGTGTACTGGAAAGGTCGTTAATAGAAACTGTATTTTATATATCACGGTATGAATTCGTGTAGTCTTAGTAAAAAATAAAAATAAATAATAATCATATTTGAATATGGAATCACAAAGTTTCAGTTCTTCCAAGGGTACTACTAACTATGTCGATATTACCTGATTATACGAAATGTGCAGCATTATTAAATTCTAGATCATTTTAAATTCTGGTTATTTACTGTATAACAACACTGCTCATTGTCCAGTTTAATAATAATCATAACCATGTTGAAAATGCATAGCAAATGGAAATGTAAAATATTGGAAGTTCAACAAAAATATAAAAAAGCGCTATGTTTTGTACATTATTTTTGTGTTTTCGTTATCAATGTTGTATTGATATTAACGGGTATTTGTGTATATTAAATGATGTTTTGGTGGCTATGATTTTGTTGTTGTCAATGATCTTGATTTCTATTTCTGCTTTTGATTTTGGGTTGGTTTTGTTCTCCTGAGGTACATTTTTCAATTGTGCAAATGATATCGGTGGACAATTATATGCACGATCGGAAAAGATTTATCACTGTAAGGTTGATGGTATTCACAACATGGTCGGACCGCCGCCGTGGTCCAGAGGGTTAAGCGTCGGCCCGGAGAGCAGGGGCCACCTGCACAAAGCCATCTTAGCGCTAAGATTATCTTAAGCCTATGTTAAAGTATGGGAGTTACAATCATCTTAGCGCTGAGGTCGCTTTGTGCAAGTGGGCCCAGAAGGTCGGAGGATTAATCTCCGTCCTCGTCATACCAAAAGATCCGGGGAAGAATTGGTCTTCAGCAACCCATGTTTGTCGTAAGAGGCGACTAACGGGATAGGGTGGTCAGGCTCGCTGACTTAGTTAAGGTTAATGCATGTCATCGTATCCCAATTGCGTAGATCGATGCTCATGATGTCTATCACTCGATTGTCTGGTCCAGATTAGATTATTAACAGATTGTCGTCGTATAGCTGGAATATTGCTGAATGTGGCGGAAAACAACAAACAAACAAAGATACTAAAAGACGTTAAAATGTGGTACTTGTTGTTTCCCGGCCTGGCACTCGGCAGTGAGGGGCTTAAACAAGGACTGGTCGTCCAAGGCGCCGCGATTCGCTATGCAGAGTTGCGTCCCTTGGACACGCCAGAAACCTATGATTGTGGGTTCGAATCCCGGTTCGCCCCAATTATGTTTCTAGGTTTGTCAGCACCATACCCGTGCTCGTGGGTTTCACCGAAGTGGTAAACGTCTGAGACCTGCATCACTTCGGGCTTTCCTCCCACATTAAGCTGACACGCCGCGATATAACTGGAATACTGTTAAAAGCGGCGTTAAACCTAACTCACTCACTCACTCAGTGGGCTAGCACCATAAAACCGGCATTGGTCCGGGACAAACACATTTCTGCTCATGGACCAAGCTACAGTGTTATCATATACGTTATATGCCTATCAAAGAGAAATATCGCGTATGGTTTTACGCCGCTTTTAGAAATATTCCAGCCATTAGTTATCAAGGCGCGGGAGGGGGCACGGGTGGCCCAGTCGTCTAAGTGGCCGCGATTCGCTGTGCAGAGTTGCGTCCCCTGGACACGCCAGAAACCTATGATTGTGGGTTCGAATCCCGGTTCGCCCCGATTATGTTTCTAGGTTTGTCAGCACCATACCCGTGCTCGTGGGTTCCACCGAAGTGGTAAACGTCTGAGACCTGCATCACTTCAAGCTTTCCTCCCACACTAAGCTGACACACCGTGATATAACTGGAATACTGTTAAAAGCGGCGTTAAACCCAACTCACTCACTCACTCACTCACTCACTCAAGGCGCGGGAAAACAAAAATAAGCGTCACGCATTATACCCATGTGGAGAATCGAACCCGGGTCTTCGGCATGACGAGCGATCGCTTTAACCATTAGGCTACCCCACCGCCCCGTTGAAATAGAAAACAGGACAAATATGAAAAAAGAGTCGGCTAAACATGGCACATGAAAATTGTCAGTATCCGATTCTAGTGAACCGGAACGATACAGATCTAACATTCAACGAAGGCTGCTTTGCATACGTACATGTTTCAGCTATAAGCATCAGCTGGTGTCAATGCTTCGGTAAATACATCAGTTTTAAGATATATCCGTTAAATACGCCACTGAAACCCTCTTGAGCGATCAATGTCTATATCTGCTTTGAACAGGCTATATCTGATTCTACAAACATTACATGTACGACTCTCCGCGCATTATGAGTTGCTAAGATTAATCTCAGATGTCAAGTGATGGTTTAGATTAATCTGACGGGATATGATTGGTCAAGATTAATCAGGAAAACGCCGATTGGCTGAGATTAATCTTAATGGTCACGTGACCATTCAGATTAATCTGTTGAATTCCGATTCGTCAAGAGTAATCTCAGGGGTCACATGACCAGTATAATAGCAGTGCCATATATGGAGAGGAGGCTTTAAGACGGCAAGGGTGTACAGTATGTCAAAACGAAAACGTATTACACAAATTGTGGAGGCTTTGGGTCAGTTTTACGAGAACTAAGAAACTGTGAATGAAGAAAGATATTGACTTGATGTTTTAAAACGTTTTATTGATAATACCAAGAATCCACCACTGATTACTTTGTTACGCAACAATAAGTTGCACCCCTCGAATTCGGACTGTTCCATTAACATCGCAATATATTGTTTGATCAAACTATGACGTCACCAGAAGCCCGACTACACACAGACAGCATAACATGTTTTGTCGTTTACACTAGCATGACATCTCTAATTTGACACTTTAATGTGACCCTAATATCAGTGTTTATAAAATATATATTATGAGAGTGCTCTGTTTTATCTTGTATCATTACTCGTTTAAGAGAGAACACCTGATTTTGACAACACCGCAGCAAGCAGGTTTTCACAATCGTGTCATGAAGTGCAGTGTCGCAATTTATTCGGTCACGTGATAGTGCAGGACCGTAAAACGTAAACAACACCACGTGGCAAGTCGGCTGAAATCACAACTCGGCTGTTGACGGCTGCTCGCCCGAGGAAAACGTGCGGATGGCTTGAAACATTTTATGTGTGTTTTGATGTGTTTCTGTGAGGACGTATAATATGGCATGGGCAATATATTTTTATAAGAGAAGGCTTATGGTTAATGTGTATTTGCTTATTGTTATGTGTATTATGACCAACCAAAGGCGTATGGACGCCTATATGTCTTTGGACCAACGATGCAATGGCTATATAAACATGGGAGAAAGGAAAACACGGAATGTTTTGCCGCCTATTATGGAGGCCCAATATCTATAAGCGCTGTCTGAAGCCGGTAAGCGAATGTCGTTTAGGAAGTGGTCATTTATTACAGGGGAGGGGAGCCGGTGAGATTGGCCTTAGGACAGTATCATATCCCCCCCCCCCCCCCCCCCCCCCCCACACACACACACATATTTAATAAATACACACACACCTTATAATAAATTATCAGTTCCTAAATAACTTACAAATTTGTATTTATTTTAATCATTAATAGAACTGTGCCTTATAGTTGTGATAAATTATAAATAACATAACATTAAATAAATAGACCCGTGAAGATCCGGGTTAGAATAGGTCCCCATGCTTCTTGTAAAAGACGACTAACGGGATCGGGTGGTCAGGCTCGCTGACTTTGTTGATGCATGTCATCGTATCCCAATTGCATAGATCCATGCTCATGATGTCAATCACTGGATTGTCTGGCCGAGACTCATTGATTTACAGCCCGCCGTAATATAGCTGGAATATTGGTCAGTGCAGCCTTAAACAACAAACAAATAAAATAAATAAATAAATCACGCCCCCATTCCCATATCTCCTATGATCAGCACAGGTTGATGAGAAGCTATTCTAACCCGGAATCACCACTGAAGGACATTCGTGACCAACTCGTGTTATTCCGGGACAAGCCGAATAGTCTTCTTGCAGGTTACGGAAAGGGGCGAGTGGTGACGAATGCACTGAAGGAGTGTGGCAGGGAATACTGGTATATGTTTAACTACATGACTCATAACATACACCTGAAAATAATGAGGAACTGGTTACTAAATATATCCATATAATTATTATATCTAATTTTAAAAGTCGTATCCTGTATATTTCTCACGAAATCCATTGACTTATACTGAAATACAGATCGAACTGATGTCGAGTATGTATGGAATATTAGAAGGGACATCGTCGCTTTGTCACCCTTACAAAAACAAGTAAAAAGTGTCAAAATTAACACCAAAGCGCAACAATGCGACATTTTGACCATTTGTCGCATTGTCGCTCATTTTAACGCATTTTGCAGATGAGGCAACATTGCGACAACGCCACATATTTTGACCTTGACTTATTTTGACATTATTAGGATTCCGTAATTATGTAATCACATATGTTTTGAAACTGTTCTATGGCAATAGATGTTTGTTTACCCTTCATGTTTCTTCTGCATCTTTGTATTACTGCCTACTTGCGACTGAAACTACCTTTGTATTCTACCATAACCTACCCCCCCCCCCCCCCCCCCCAAAAAAAAAAAAAAATACAAAAAAACAACAACAAACAAACTAAACAACAACCAAAAAACAACAAAAAATAGACAACAAAAATAACAACTACAAAATACCATACCAAGCATACCAAAACAAAACAAAACATAAAACCCCAACAAAACAAACAAAGCAACAAGCAAAAAACAAAAATGTATAATTGTGAGCGTATTTTAATGTGAGACTCAATTCAATATCGGAAGGCAAAATAATTAGTTCACAACTGAAAAATCGACTACAGGCACTCTACCACTAAACTCGGCCTGAGTGTAAGGGGAGATAAGAAGTATATGCTTCCTGTGAAAGATGGCGTCGATTTTTCGGCATTTTGTCTGTCGTGTTGTTGCTCCAGTGAGATGTACTGCCACCAAAAAGCCCTGTCACAGATATCTGTCTACCAGGTGATCCATTTAACTCAATAGGGATAGGGCATCTACAATAACAGTATAGATCGACTAGATTAGTAAACTGTAAAACATTAGGCTCCAGACGGCGTAATGACCAAAATTTAAAAAAACCCAAAACCAACATGGTCTAGATTCGTAGTCATGGTAGTGTGCAACTGGTGAGGTTTTCAGGAGAGCACTTTCCCGGGTGCTGTACTGTTATTCCATTATAATTAGTGCTGTCACCTAAAGTGGGCACGTTTGGTCCCTGACAATAAAATTGGTTACGAATTACGTGACCCGTAAAGACTCGGGGTAGAATAGTTTTTCAGCAACCCATGCTTGCTGTAAAAGTCGACTATGCTTGTCATAAGAGGCGACTACCGGGTTGGGTGGTCAGGCTCGCTGACTTGTTTGATGTATGTCATTGTGTTCCAGTTGCGTGGATCGATGCTCATGATGTCAATCACTGGATTGTCTGGTTCAGACTCGATTACTTACAGACCGCTGTCATGTAGCTGGAATATTGCTGAAAATGGCGTTAAACAGCAAACCAACATCCCAACCAATTACATTTTAAAACATTTTTTTTCAGGATCTACTAAACTTAAATATTTGGCCTACCTTTAGAATACAGTACCACTTTTCAAACACGTGACAATACCCTTTGACGTAATTTGTAGTATTTTGTTGCTAGTCACACCAGCGAAACAATGCCCTGTGTTGTCAGGGGTCATTGAGTGTGCATAAGCTCCTCCCAGTGATCTATCATCTCTACATGCAACAGTGTTGAGAGTTTTGAATATTTGTTTACTAAATATAGACTGCGGCAGCACATTTTAGAACAAGAGCTAGTTTACGAAAGCACTTTAAATATTTATATATTTTATATTTCGTATTTTTCGTAATTCAATTGTCTATAATGGTTATAAATTGGAACTAATATACATATATTATTTTTCTGGTTCATTAATTTTCATTATTATGCAGAAGAATGCAGTTTATTAGGGATATTATAATGGCGTCAGTGTTAGGGTAGGTTACCCCGAACTCTATCCTTAACCCTTGGATCCCCATTACGATCAATCACCCCTTTACGATCATTAGGGTTAGGTACTTGTTTAATGGCTGTTATAGATTCTATAGAGGTTCCTAATATTCTTCACACAAACACGTCGAGTAAAAAGGATGCAATGGTTTTGTGTTGAATATTTTGGTTATTGGAAACTGTCCTGGAACATTCACACAAGCCACTTTCAGCGCTACATTTTTTCAGTACTGATTCAAAAGTGAACCTTTGTGTCATGACTGGCCATGCTCATGCCTCCCTCATTCCTTACTATTATCCACATCATGCTTACAGTGTTCCCTACCACACTTTTCTGTCACAAAAATCACACGACGAATTATTAAATACCACATCATTCATGGGTACTCGCGAGTTCGACGTCTGACTTCTGAAGCCTGGAGCCATTTTCAGTTCTCGCCACATCGGCTCATTCCTCACCACTCGGTATCTTGTAGATTACGGAATGGGATGAGTGTGCCAAATGGCATTGGGATTATTTGTAAGTTTCCGTAGACTAAAGTTACGAGACACCATGCCTACCCGAAACCTTCGTAAGTGTCCATCACCTTTCGACCCTTTTCGTTCAGTTCCCTAACATCATAGGCATGACTAGGTAAATTTGCACTTAGTTTCACAGTGTGAACATAGCTCAGTCGGCTAGCTGTCGGGCTAACAATCCGAAGGTCGCGGGTTTGTGGTTGCTTGTCTTTGAGACGTGGCCCATTTCTGGTGTCCCCCGCCGTGATATTGCTGGAATATTGCTAAAAGCGGCGTAAAACCATACTCACTCACTCACTCTTTGAGACGTGACCTACGGCAGAGATCGTCCTCACGAGAAGTTGTGGTACTGTTTTCTTAAGGTGCTCCCAACAATATTATTTAGTGAGTGAGTGAGTGAGTGAGTTGGGTTTAACGGCGCCTTAACAGTATTCCAGTTATCTCATGGCGTGTCAGCTAAATGTGGGAGGAAAGCCCAAATAGATGCAGATATCAGACGTTTACCACTTCGGTGAAACCCACGAGCATGGGTGTGGTGCTGACAAACCGAGAAACATAATCGGGGTGAACCGGGATTTGAATCCATGGTCCTTGGTTTCTGGTGTACCCAAGGGACGCAACTCTGCACAACGACTAGGTCACCCATGCACCATTTTTCTCTAGGTTCCAAGGCAGGCTATAACATGATGAATGGGAGGAAACATTCCTGTTGCTGTATTGGGGGTTGGGGTGGCCTAGCGGTTAAAGCGTTGGCTCGTCACGCACAGGGATTCGAACTCATATTCATAGGTTTCTGGGGCGTCGCAAATCGCAGCGCCTTAGAGCGGTGTGCCACTCAAAGCTGACACGCCACGATATATCTGGAATACTGTTAAAAGCTGCGTTAAACCCAACTCGCTTCGACTGTCACTTTCATGATCTGGTAATCGATGCTCTGATTGGTCGGATGAAAGGTCGTTTTGACGTGACCCCTAATGGGATGTCCTCACATCTTTGTTCAGTGATAGCGAGAGCTTAGATCTGATTTTAATGAGATTGGTGACTTGGTTTATTGTTGGCTGTCCTTCCCCAGTGATGCTGCTGTGATAATGCTAGAACAATGGACAAATAGAATATCTGAATGATTTTATCAACTTTTCATTTGCTGTTTTTATAACGTCATTGGGGCATTTGCTGACCATGTCCAGGACCCGGGTTCGATTCCCAATATGGGAACATTGTGTGAAGCCCATGTCTGGTGTCTCTGGCCGTGACAGTTCTGGAATATTGCTAAAAGCAGCCTAAAAGCATGACTCACTCTATCAGCATGATCAGCATCTCTGATCATCAAAGTTATTAGCAATTTTGAAAAAATAGGGGCATTATCGGTGATAATGTCAGTGTTCTTGAGCATGAAACATGGAGAAACCCTTCTATGTGGAACAGTGGAACAGTTGAGCTCCATTTAAATCATTTTCATTTGGTTTCAGATTGGCAGAAGTTGGGATACTAGAAACACCGAAAGAACATGGAAATTCCTATGAGACTGGGCAGGTAGGTGAGGGAGGAGGAGGCTTTTATGATTGTTGTTCAGAATTGGCACTTTGTACATGCTGTAGGACATAGGGCCTGCCTGGCTGTGGCAGGATCTGCTGACTCTGGGTTTTCAATCCCAGTTTATACTGATTAGGATACTTGGTTTTACCGCTTAATACCGACTCAATGGTTTCACTTTCGCCAAAGTGGTCGACTTGTCTTGCTTGCATCACTTTGGGCTTTCTCCGTTATTTCATTGTCAGAACACATGGTATAAGCTTCCTGTGTCCTTTGGGGCGGTCGGGTTGTCTAGTGGTTAAAGCGTTCGCTCATCACGGAGAAGACCCCAGTTCAATACTTCAAATGGGTACAATGTGTGAAGCCCATCGTGATATTGCTGGAATATAGCAAAAAGCAGTGTAAAACAATACTCACTCACTCACTCACCCCTGTGTCCTCTACCAGGTCAATGTCATTGTGTATGGGTATTGTGTACACACGCACAGAAACTCAGACACACACAGACATACACACTCCTTCACAATCCTGGCTCCACCTCTGAAGCTCAAATACTATTCAAAGCTCTGTTAACATGGGTTAAAGCCAAATTCCCTGCCTCTGCTCACTCTTCATCTTGTACATTGATTGATTGTTTGTTGTTTAACGCCACACTCAGCAGTATTCCAGCTATATGACGGCAGCATAAATAATTAAGTCTGGACCAGACAGTCCAGTGATTGATCTCATAAGCATCGATCCACGCATTTGGGATATGATGACATGCATCAACTAAGTCAGAGAGTCTGACCACCCGATCCCGATAGTCGCCTCTTACGGCAAGCATGGGTTGCTGAAGACCTATTCTACCCCGGGTCTTCACGGGTCGCATCTTGTACATGCCGTATTATGATTATCCATGTGTAGTTCTCTGAAGTGTAATCAGAGGTTATAGGAATAGGAGATGTAGGTGTTTGTTTCAATTACAGCATTTGCTTAGAACTCTGTTTCTTATAATCAGATGCCCAATACATGTACTATCCATTCCATATTGGACCCGTGAAGATTGGGTTAGAATAGCTCTTTAGCATCCCAGGGGGCGTTCGGGTAGCCTAGTGATTAAAGCGTTCGCTCTTCACGCCGAAGACCCAGGTTCAATTCTCGACATGGGTCTAATGTGTGAAGCCCATTTCTGGTGTACCCCGCCGTGATATTGCTGGAATATTGCTAAAAGCAGCGTAAAACACTCACTTTAGCATCCCATCTTTGTGGTAAGAGGTGACTATGCTTGATGTAAGATGTGACTAATGGGATCGGTTGGTCAGGCTTGTTGATTTGGTTGATGCATGTCATCAAATCCCAATTACGGGGATCGATGCTCATGATATCATTTATTGGATTGTTTGATCCAGACTTGATTGTTTACAGACTGCCGTCATATTGCTGGAATATGATGAGTGCAGGGTAAACAACAAACAAACATGCAAACAAATATGACATATTGCATATATAATCATGATAATGAATCGTTATTGTTAATCATTATAGTCACAGGTTATCGTTATACTTAAGTGAGAACCTAAAACTATTAACATTTGTAAAAGTTTTTCACTTTTGAGTGAGTTGGTTTATCAATCTCATTAAAATCAGATCTTAGTTCTCGCTACCGCTAAACAAAGATCTGAGGACATCCCATTGGGGGTCACGTCAGAACGACCTTTCATCCGACCAATCAGAGCGTCGCTTACCAAATCATGAAAGTGACTGTCAGAATGTGATTTCTAACCATGCAGCCTCGAAAACTTTAAAACGGGGTATTCCGAACGATAGTTACGGGCTTAACGACTGAATCTATACAATCTAGACCATATATTAGCCATTCGAGAATGTTCTTTTGTTCAGGTTTCAAATTTTTTAGCGAGAATTTGTCAAAATATGTTTCGAAGCGTAGTCGCCAATTTGAAATTAGTGCCGTAAAGCACGAGAATGCTGCCTTCTGATTGGCTAATGTCTTCTTCTATGCAGTAATTCCATTGGTCGGTCAGAGTTTGCGAAAGGTCGGTCTGACATCACCCGTAATGGGATGTCCTCAGATCTTTGTTTAGCGGTAGCGAGAACTAAGATCTGATTTTAATGAGATTGGTTAGGTTATATCACAGCGTGTCAGCTTGGTGTCGTAGGTATGCCCAAAGTGATGCAGGTCTCTCATTTACCACTTTGGTGAAACCCACCAGAACAGGTACGGTGTTGACAAACAGAGAAACATAATCGGGGTGAACCGGGATTCAAATCCACAATCCTAGGTTTCTGGTGTACCCAAGGGATGCAACTCTGCACAACGACTAGGTCACCCATGAAACATTCCTGTTGCTGTATTGGGGGTTGGGGTAGCCTAGTGGTTACAGCGTTGGCTCGTCACGCGGAACACTCGTGTTGGATTCCCCACATGGGTACGATGTGTGAAGCCCATTTTCAGGTGTCCCCCGCAATGGTATTGCTGGAATATTGCTAAAAGCGATGTAAATCCGTACTCACTCACTCACTCCTGTTGCTGTACAATGCTGTATTATACCAGTAGGGCTGGGATGATACACCAACTGTGGGATCCTATACGTATCACGATACCTTGCTCACTATCCGATAAGTATCATGATACTTGCATGTGCTCTTATCAGTGGTGCATAAGCCATCTTTTTTATAGACAGGATGGCCAAATACCTGGCACACCAACAAATTACTGTTGACAGTATGGCGCAATGGGTGAAAAACTATACCTTTTCACTGCTCATTTTCACTTGTAATTAGTGTTTTGTGCTACATTTATTAAAGAATACTTTTAAGGTTAGAATCGATACTTTTTACCTAGTGTGCGATTGTGATCGATACTTGTATCGAGAAGTAAGCTATCGCGATCCACTGATGCATCGTTGTATCATCCCACTACTATATACCAGTAAGGCAGTCAGACATGAAGACAGCTAGATCTGTAGAACTGTCTAACTTAGGACTAAACAATTCCAGTGTCAACGAATTGCTAATCAAGGTGATGTCATAAATATACAATACATAATTGTTTCAGCTGTTCCTGCATCGGATATTTGGTTATCGTGGTATTGTCCTCTTTCCATGGCTGGCCCGAGTGTATGACCGAGACACAGCCACGAAGACTGAGGAGAAGTAAGTAACCATGGTAACAGAAGCTGTAGACAGTGATCTAGACAATCCGTCTGACCTCATCCTCAAGTAAGTCAAGACAATGCCTTTTTGGACTCGATAACATGGTTAAGTTGAGCATGTTTAGCAGAAGAACATCAAATGAAGTGGCTTTTATCATCATCCAGAACTTCCTTCCCCAGGAGATAATGCTCAATCAATGTCATCTAGGCATTATCGTTTCAATGAAATTGCATCATAATGCTTTGGTGACCATTGTGACGTCACCGTCACTGGCAGAGAGATCAATTGCGATGCAATTACATTGCAGCAATATTTCCTAGGATTTCTCCCAAGCTATATCTTCTGTGGAAGCCAAGTGTGGTTGATAAATAAACATATCATGCATATACTCCTTCTTTTTATAGCTGTCCATGTGTTCTGTGTAGAGGGTGCGGACATCTTCCCAAGGCGAGGGAACAACTGACTATTTAATTCCAGTTTCCACCCTTGACAAACTAGACTGGAATTGTGGAGTTTTGACTAGACTAAAAAATCTTTGCATAGTCCAATCAAAATCAAGTAATGAAATCAACATCTGATTCGTAAATTGTTGTGCAGATTTTGGTCGACTGCAGAATATGCAATGCATGTGTACCATTAACCTAGCGTCAAACGAAATCGATTTTCCAAATCTTTTCACGTTTTTAATCAAGGTTCTCACATGATTCGATGTACTTCGTGAAGTAATACCCATTTATTACAATATAGAATTTGATGATGACACCATTTTGTTTGAAGCAAATGCAAGTGATATTAGAGGTGGTCAATAGAAGGGACATAGAAGGGACATAACTCATACTAGTCCACTGGTGGTGCTACGATCAAGCCCAGATATTCCAGCCTCGTTCGGTAAGATTGGAAACTGGATTTTTGCAGTCAGTTAACTCCCTTGCCTCAGGAATTCAAAGATGGGATGCAGACAACCACACTACAGCTTCAGGGCAAGGCATGCAATGTACAGCTGTTTTAGTTCCATGTGTTCTGTGTTACAGGAGTGTGGATGACAACACCACAGCTATAGGGAAGGAGGTCAAGGGCAAGAACCACTTGTACTACCAGGTGCTCATCGACGCCAGGGACTGCCCACACATTGTATGTACTCCATGCTGATATATGACAACATACCACCATGTCTTATATGTACCTGTAGGCCCCCGGGGTGGTCGGGTAGCCTAGTGGTAAAAGCGTTCTCTCGTCAAGCCGAAGACCCGGGTTCGATTTCCGACATGGGTACAATGTGTGAAGCCCATTTCTGGTGTACCCCGCCGTGATATTGCTGGAATATTACTAAAAGCGGCGTAAAACCACCCTCACTCACTCACTCACTGTAGGTCCCCAGTAGCCTATTCTGGTTGTAGAACTTAATGGATTGGGTGGTCTGGCTTGTTGACTTCATTTATTGCGTTCATCTTACCTCAACGGATCGTTGCTCACAATATCAAGCACTAGTTTGTCTAGTCCAGACTTGATTATTTACTGCCTTCATATAGCTGGAGGGGCGGTCGGGTAGCCTAGTGGTTAAAGCATTCTCTCGTCACGTTGAAAGACCCGGGTTCGATTCCCGACAGGTACAATGTGCGAAGCCCATTTCTGTTGTGCCCCGCCTTGATATTGCTGGAATATTGCTGAGAGCAGTAAAACCATACTCACTCACTCACTCATATAGCTGGAATATTGCTGAGTCCTGCCTTAATCAAGAAGCAAGCAAGGAAATCATATGACATAATGTGGAAGACGTTTCATCTCAGTCAGAACACTTATCATGCTGATATACTTACAGTATCTAGAAAGTGAATCGACTAATATACCTACACGTGGAAATATGTCAGACAAACTTTGAAGTTAAGAAATGAATAATTTTACCTTATCCTGACTCGTACTAATTTGCTTATTTCTCTTATTCCTGAAAGGTAGTGGAAACTTCCTGTGCTACGTTTCTGGAGAACAGAAAACATCTCATGCAAATGCACCCCTCTCATGTGCAGGTGTACCTTAACCGTATAACCAACCTGCCTGACTCATCACTAAATTATTATTTTCGAGCCAACCAGCTAGTTGAGAATATATCTCTGTACTTACTATCCGAACCATCCAATCAAAATTATCCATTCCCATTAAATTGTTTGGTTCAGATGGCCTTTTCCTGTCATCCCTTCATCAAATTCATCGATTATTTTTTTAATTTGGCAAGAATTTTTAATCCTTTTGGCCCTTTGAAATTCTGCCTGTTTTACTTCATGAAATTGTGGATTAAGTGTCCGCTTCATATCTCTGATCACAACCCGGACCACCTCTGCGCAGCATCAGACATTCCACAAACCTCCGACATTTTCAAAGGCTCAGCCTTTCACGCAGGCACAGACCTTCTCGCAGCCATAAACCTTCGTGCAGTCGCCGACCTGCGGGGAAGCCCCTGACCTTCACGAAACACTCTGTCAAAAGCTTTCAAAATACGCACAACCTGCTTTTTTTGCGGCAGGGCTCTGTACCTGCTTTTTCATCAAACACTGACTTGGTAGCTAGTGTTATTCTGCAGGTCGTTTTAGCCACACAACAGCATCAGCCTTTGAGCTTAACAACGGTATAAGGATCTATACCGAAACGTTGCCTTTAAAGTAATAAAAGCAGTTATCCATAAATTGTGTGTACTTTGTCACCTTGACTACCCTCTTATAAATCCAATCTTTCAGATAGATAAGTATCTTGATGCTTCTTTTATCAAGGCTATCTGGACTCAGTGTACTATGCACTATGGTACTATGCAGTACCATTACCAAACTTCAATGCCAGAAGGTTTCAATGCCCTTCACAGCATGGCCACTTTTCTCCAGGCTCTGGAGATTGATGAAGATTATATACTTTGATGTCGGATTAAAAACACAGGACATATTGTGTTGACGCTAAGAAGTTAGCACAGCGATGATTACACAGAATAAGAATCAAGAATTAATTTTCGATCATGTCCAATGTTCCAATTCAGCTGGACTAACTCTTCTTCGTCACCATGGCTTGATAGCCTACTCCCATTGGTGTGATCTTTATGCAAAGCCTCAACTGTGTCAGTTATGGGATTCCTCTGACATCTTTGATGGCCGCATCCGCAGTATCAGTGAGGTGGTCCAGGATGACAAGGAGGACCAGATGTTCATCAAATCAGTTTAGACAATGAACTCTATGTGCAGACAATCCATGCAGAAGACACAGTTCAAGAGCCGCTTCTCTGGAATCCAGAAAGCAAAGGACAAGCGTTCCACTAGCTATCCAGGAGGCATGACCACAGCCTATCCAAGACCCTAAGACTGACCAAATGAAGGGAAGCTGTTGAACGACTGGGACCTTCCACCTGTATTTTGAAGACTGGCAAGATATTGGAGAAATTGGGACATCCTGGATCGTCTGTTTGTATCAAACATTCTCAGGAAGGGCTACGGTCCAGATGTACGTGAGGAACCTCCTCTCTTTCTCTCAATCCACTGATTGTTCAATATCCCGAGACACTGCAATCCATGCTGACAGACGTGATAGGCACACTTCTTATGAAAGGAGCAGTAGAGATAGTACAATTAAACTCCCAAGTTATTATTCACCGATCATCTGAGTCCCCAAATAGAGCTCAAATGAAAGGTTTCATTTAATCTACAACAAGAAAGAATTCAACAAAAAACTATTTTCAAAAGCCAGACAAATTCAGGATGATCCACCTACCACAACTAAAACAAATGATAAAGAAGGACGATTACCTCTCAAGCATCGATCTCCAAGACGCCTACCTTCACATCCCAATCCATCCAGCCTCCAGGAAATATCAGAGTTTCCTGTACAAAGGACACCATCACCACTGGACAGTCCTACCCTTCGGAATTTACACGGGGGACGAAACCAATCTTGACTCTTCTGCACAACAAGGGAATCCTTAACAAGGAGAGCTACTCAGACTCCAACTGAATTTCACTCTGAAATTACTAACACACAGTTAGGATGGTAAGTCAATTATCAGAAGTCCGACCTCCAACCATCTCCCCCCGTTCTTGGGGGATCAGGTTCCTGACTGGACAGAACCTTATCCAGGTTCCAGAAGATCATAGGATCAAAATTTAAAGTTACCTTCAGCAGCAATTCACAAACAGATATCAGTCTACCCACTTCCTCCCAAGCTTTGAAAAAACAGGGTAGACTTCATCTACGTCCCATGCAAAGATTCCTCAAGCCGTTCTTAGATCAACAAGAACTCAAACTTCAACTCCGACAACACCTGAACAAACATCTCCGATGGTGGACAATTAAGTCGAATGCTTGTGTACGAACTAATTTGTACGAGCTAGAATACAACAACACCTATTTGTAGATGCCATACTCCTCAGAAGTAGCATCTGGTTGTGGTCCACAGAAGAAAAGAAGCTCTTCCACATCAACCACCTAGAGTTTGAGACAGTAATCTGGGCAATATCTCAGTGGGCATCACAGTGAGTTGTTCGTTCTACAACACCTTCTACATAAACCTCCAAGGCACGACATGGTTGGTAACCCTTCTGAGGTTAACATTTCAGCTGTACAAGTTAACAGACAGTCTGAATCGAAGAATCAAAGCAAGACACATCCCAGGAGCATCCAGTGTCTTAGCAGACATCCAGTCCAGACCATCAGTACCGTCACCAACAGAATGGATGCTATAGCACGCACGAATACGGTGTTAGCGTTGGGCGTCTCAACGTGCGTGATTTCCGTGCACCCTTTCGAGTTGAGTTGATTTGTTCAACTGGGTCATACGGCCCTGTGATGCAGGGGTAGCATTATGCAGATGGCTGTTTCAATGAATGCTCGTTCCACCCGTGACGAACAGGTCTGGTTGTTGATGAAATAAAGTGATAGGTAAATAGACAGACTTTTTATTCATGCACCAGTTGTCAATAAATGTAACATCCAGTTATGTATGACTGTTTAAAAATCTCATACCAACTTTGACTGCAGTATGTCCGATAGTTTTTCAGATATTGTAGTAAACGTCGGTACCTTAAATTACCTTCCAGACTATACATCAAGAAGCATTCCAACTGGCGACAAGGGTAGAAGATTGCCCATCAGTGGACCTGTTCACAGCCAGGTTCAACAGACAGATAGCAACCTTCATATACCCAGTAGCAGATCCTCATGCTTTGTCCACCAACATGCTGGCATTATCTGTGGTGAGAACATGGTGCCTAGACCTCTACCCAGATCTTTAAGAGCTTCAAGTATGGAGCATAATTGAACAACCTCACAAGACAAGGCTACTCGACCAGGGCATCTAAGGCAGTCTCCTTACCTCTTCAATGATCCACTAGGAACGACAAGTGGAAGAAATTTGTCCAGCTTGTGAAAAGGGTTCACAGCAACAAAGCTACTTCACCACAACATGTGGAAGTCTTGTGTCATCTAAGGAGCACAAGAAACCTCAATGGCTCAATCTTTGGAACTTATTTAGCAGCAATCAGCTCCGTCTTAACTATGACTACCCGAGAGAAACTCACCAAAGTTCCTGACTCATAGCCCTACTGAGATTCCACAAAGTTTAGGATCAAAGGAAAAGTTTAGATTGGGATTTAGACATAGCAACATCTTACCATCATCTGAGAACCACTTGAAGATGAAGATGACTTCGAACATCTGACACAAAAGACTTTTTTTCTCCTGGGACTAGCTACAGCAGCAAGAATGTCAGAAATACATGCACTCAACTGATTTGTCAGCGGTGAACGTACGTCAGAGATTGGATTTCTTCACGAAAAAAACAGTCGCCCAGTGTGTTCGTCCATTCTTGGATCAGAGGACATTGAAGACTGTTCCTTTGCCCAGTTAGGTCCCAACACACCTATCTTCAAAAGTCAAGCTCTAAAAGACAAAGACTGCGAAGACTATTCATCCCGTTCACGAGAAATGCTTCCTCAGAAGTCTCCAGAACAACTGTCTCCTTCTGGATGAGAGCAGTCATCCTAAGAGCTTACAGAGCAGCAGGTCTGGACCCACCTAAAGCATCCCACCCACATGAAGTCGGAGCGATATCAGCAGCTTTAGCCCTGAACAAGAATTGCTCTATTCCAACTATTGTGGAAGGATGCTTCTGGAGATCTTTCCGAATCATTACCTCAGAGACTTGGCCACTGAAGATGTCTCTGGCATGCAGCAATTCTGACCACTGGTACTAACACAGCAACTAATGGTACCTGCTTGAAGATATTGGAGATACATTCACCCACATATCTTGTTGACTAGGTGATGTCAAGTTACTGTCCCATAACCACCAACCGAGAGTCCACTGTATTGAAATGTAATTCAGAGCATGAGTGATAACAACTATGCTAAGATTACATCCTTCGCTTTACACTAAATCCGTTTATGAAGCAGCTTGAATGTTATTCTATGCACGCTTTACCAAATCCACAAAATCTTATGATTTGCTCCTTTTTCTCCAAAAAGGAGGTGGTACCTGACTCAGACATCAAAGAACAACAACAGAGCCTAGAAGATGACCTAGTCAGAATCACACATCCAGGTGAGACCTGCCCCCATCTGTGAGATTCAAGCAAATTAGTATGAGTCAAGATAAGTAAAATCTGCATTTTTTTATATAAAAATGTCTTTTATACTTATCCTGACTCATACACTGAAGCACCCGCACAGCCAAGCCACTCACCCCAATGTGATTTCAACTTAAGAATGTTAGGAGAAAGCAAAGAGTGATAGGTCAGACGAGTTAATCACTTGGTTCGAGTCTGCCTGCCCACGAGAGGGGTACGTTGGGGTGAGATGTTTTCTGCTCTCCGGGAACGCAGCACAGGAAGTTTCCTCAACCTTTTGAGAATAAGAAGAAGAGATAAGCAAATTAGTATGACTTAGGATAAGTAATAATGACAGTTTTATCATAAAAATTCATTTTACTCTTTCAGCGAGCGCAGACGGAAGCAGTGACATTCCTTGGTAACCAGGAAAACAGTCGAGCTCTGTATGCTATCCCAGGTAAAATGCAATGTCTGATTGCTCAGTAAACTATTGACTAACATTCTCAATAAGTTTAGCTAGGAGTTTCCTAAGGCTAAAAAAATAATAGTCTTGGTTCTCGGGCACCACCTGTATCAACATAAAGTCTGTCACACATTTTGTTTTTAATTCCATTTTCAAAAAAATAATTAAAAATCCTAATACTTAAACACAATGCACAAAAATAACTAAATTGAGAATGGAAACAAAAACGAAACTTTATGATGATGTGGGCAGTGCCTGAGAACCAAGACTATTATTGTTTTTAGCCTAATGTGTGGGTGATTATGAAGACTGACATAGCACTATATGATAAATATAGTTCACTCAAACACTGTATTCAGACGTGGTTTCTTCAATGAAACAAGGGACGGTCGGGTAGCCTAGTGGTAAAAGCGTTCGCTCATCACGCCAAAGACCCGGCTTCGATTCCCGACAAGGGTACAATGTGTGAAGCCCATTTCTGGTGTCCCTCGCCGTGATATTGCTGGAATATTGCTAAAAGCAGCGTAAAACCATATTCACTCACTCACTCAATGAAACAAATTACCAGTATGTCTTTAACATGTTTAACATCAATTATTTTAAGAATGACATTATATTATAAGAAGATTTCCTCATGTGTTTTCGACACATCAATTATTTTAAGAATGACATTATATTATAAGCAAATTTCCTCATGTGTTTTCGAATTGTAAATATCAAATATTAGGATACCATGTATTTTCCTCAAATGTATTTATGACACGGAAACAATAATATTTCTCTCAATCCAGGCTGTAAATTCTTTGGTTGGTTGGTTGGTTTGTTGTTTAACGCTGCACTCAGCACTATTCTAGCTATATGACGGTGGTCTGTAAATAATCAAGTCTGGACCAGACAATCCAGTGATTGATATCATGAGCATCAATCCACGCAATTGGGATACTATGACATATCAACCAAGTCAGCGAGCCTGACCACTTGATCCCGTTATTCGTCTCTTACGACAAGCATAGTCACCTTTTACGGAAAGCATGGGTTGCTGAAGACCTATTCTATCCCGGATATCTTCACGGGCCTGTAAATACTTTGACAATATGCTGACAGTGGTTGTGTGTTGCAGGCTTGGACTACGTGGCCCAGGAAGACCTCCTCCCCTACACCAGCACTGAGCGCTCACCCATACAACACGAGCTGTTCGACAAGTTCCTCATGCACGATACAGACAGCTGTAAGTGGTCGTCAGTGTTGATAATAAAAACAGTTATCAGCCCTGAGGAGTGAGTGAGTGATTGAGTGAGTTGGGTTTGGTTTTAACGCCGCTTTTAACAGTATTCCAGTTATATCATGACGTGTCAGCTTAATGTGGGAGGAAACCCCTGAAGTGATGCAGGTCTGAAACGTTTACCACTTCGGTGAAACCCACGAGCAGGGGTATGGTGCTGTCTGAGTAGTGACCATTTTGGTCGCAAGTGTGACTTAAATTTTTCATTTGCGTCCAAATTTGATCTGCTACTAGCCACTTTAGCTACCTAAAAATAAACGTAAATGGCGACAATATCTACCTTATTATGTAAGCATACTGTGCACACCCCTCTAGGGATGCAGAATTTTGGAAAATATTTTTAGACTTCACACCGTAAAACCAATGTGATCTCAGACTCTCAGTCTGGCTCCTTTAGCCTCTAGTTATTAGGTTTGGCTCTCTAATAAAAAAATGAACTTAGAGTGCTGGGTATCTTGTATCGAGAATACTAAATGTCAGCCTTGATTGTATCTCCATTATTTTATGAAATGTAAACTTGACCTTTCCCTCACCCCAGTAACATTGTTGGGAAGTGATGTCGCCATCTCCCATTATCACTAGCTTTGCACCGAATTTATCTTGTTTATCATCTTGAAGTTAACCAATCAAAAGACTCTTCTCAGGAGAGTTTGTCATAGATCTAAACATCAGCCTTGTACCACCAAGCTCGCAAAGTCATTAATAAACTTTAATGGGACAGGACGTCAACCTTCTGAAACTTTTGTTTGTAAACGGTAACCAATAACCCGCGAGCTAATTCAGCTCTCCTGGCCTTATTCTGTGACAATGTTCTGCTCCGGTGGACACACCATGGGTGTAGGGTTATCACGTGACCAGACTTTTCCCTTGTTAGTACAGCAACACACTTTTCTGATATAAGAACAGATGGCATAATGCAAGCCTTTCGGTGCGCTTTACATATTGTTTTGCTTAATTATATAAGCAAACTTCTACAACTGCGACAGTGCAGTGCATGAGAACATAGCTTTACACATAAAAGTGACCGTATCACTAGCTCTCCGTAGGACTTCAATAACAGCTTGTGGGGGATAGATACACAAATGAAATAGTTTTTGACGTTTTTGTATATTTCCTCAATGAAAGTTATGTTTGTCTAAATGTGTAGAGATGAAAAACCATGAATGGACTGTGTAAGACTTGATGTGACTGACTAGGCTGGCTGCAAGGGACTCTTGGTAGGAGAGTGATTGGCTTCATACTATCAAGAGGGGGCACGGGTGGCCCAGTCGTCTAAGGAGCCGTGAATTCGCTGTGCAGAGTTGCGTCCCTTGGGCACGCCAGAAACCTATGATTGTGGGTTCGAATCCCGGTTTTGCCCCGATTATGTTTCTAGGTTTGTCAGCACCATACCCGTGCTCATCGGTTTCACCGAAGTGGTAAACGTCTGAGACCTGCATCACTTCAAGCTTTCCTCCCGCATTAAGCTGACACGCCGTGATATAACTGTAATACTGTTAAAAGCGGCGTTAAACCCAACTCACTCACTCACTCATACTATCGAGGCATATTTATATTATAGTCTAGGCCTATACCCGTCTTTCAGCAAGCTTATATGTATTTCTACAACACAGCAAATGGCCAATCAAAGAGCTAGATTCTTGAACGAGTAATGATGTTCCTTCTCTTTGTTATCAACTTTTAGCACCTCCCTTCATGGCACGGGAGACGTTGCGAGCATGGCAGGAGAAGAACCACCCTTGGCTGCAGCTGTCCGACGTTCATCGAGAGACCACCGAGAACATCCGCGTCACTGTCACTCCATTCTACATGGGATGTAGGGTAGGTTGGCAGACAAGAAGGGACTCTTATCTGTAGCAGATTGGGTGATTCATTCCACATCACCTCTGTGGGGATTCCACGCAACCTATACAGTCATGGAAACTAACAGTTTTATCCAACTAGTCCTTAAAATAATAACATATAACAAAGCCCTAAAAAGGGCAAATTTCTACTACCGTATATGACCGCGGATAAGCCGACCCCGTAGATAAGCCGAGGTGTTAATTTGACCATTGAAATACGAAAGAAAATGATATGACCCGCAGATAAGCCGAATCAGGAATTGAAAGACAAAAAAAAACTGCGAAGTCGGACTGAAAGACGTGCCGGTACTCGCAGATATTCAAAAATATAAGATGAAAAACGTTGTAATTATATTGAAAAAGTAATTATTATTTCTAATAAAGATTTAACAAACCAGTCATCCACTTTCATAATGTGGGAAGCTGTTTCTCGTGGGTTTTTTTAATCTCATAATGATCGTTATATGTTGCCATCAACAACCAAGCGCCATTTTGTGAGTCGGTGTATATAGAATTATGAACCCGTGAGAAAATATATCAGCTGGAGCGAAGACTCGCAGTTTGAATTCAGCATCGTAAGCATGGCGTTTTCGTTTAAAACTCATGATGAAAACGTCAGTCAGTAAAAATATACCAACTTTTATAACCCCCTTTACACCACTATTGTATGTTAATCCAATTGAATTAAATAAACTATCATACTATGAACACATTGAATGACCATCACTTACTCACAGGCTTTTCCAGTAGTCCTTAGGATCCCTACACTATTGGGCAGTTTGGCAAGGACAACAGGACTAGTGCCAATTTCTAACGCTGCTATAGAGGTGACGAAAGGGATCAGTTGGTTAGACTTGGTGACTTGGTTTGTGAGTCATCAAGCCCAGATGAGTGAGTTAGTGAGTTGGGTTTAACGCCGCTTTTAACAGTATTCCAGTTATATCGCGGCGTGTCAGCTTAATGTGGGAGGAAAGCCTGAAGTGATTCAGGTCTCAGACATTTACCACTTCGGTGAAACCGATGAGCACGGTATTGTACTGACAAACCTAGAAACATAATCGGGGTGAACCAGGATTCGAACCCACAATCATAGGTTTCTGGCGTGTCCAAGGGACGCAACTCTGCGCCTTAGACGACTGGGCCACAAGTGCCCCCCAAGCCCAGATGAAGTGAATTGTTGTTCACAATAAGAATCAGTGGATAGTCTGGTCCATAATCAATTATTTCCAGTCTACCGTCATATACTTGGAATAGTGCTGAGTGTGGCATTAAACAACAAACAAATAAACGTAAATTGATTGGATGGTCAGGTTCGGTGATGAGGTTCATTGCGTGTCGTCATGCCGCCACTGGTGTGGCATGGCTCATAGTATCAATAACATGTTTGTCTGGAGGAGACTTGATTGTTTACGGGCTGCTGTGTTAAAGCTGGAATATTGCTGAGTGCAACATTTTGCAGGTTCTTTGTTTCGATTAATGAGTACATGGATCCTGGTGACATGGTTACGTGGTAAATGTTTCACTTTTGATTTCAGGAATCACAACAGACACATGTATACTGGGTAAGTAGGGCCTATTATTTTGCATTTGTTTCACCAATCTTGGCACGTAGGTAGGTCTGGTGGTGAACTGGTGCTTTTTGATACCGTTACATTTGACATGCAGTCAGTTGACTAGTTGACCTATTCACCAGAAGTATTTACCATTTCAGGGAATATTGATGACGTTGTCCTCTTGTGTTTCATCAAGGCAGCGTACAAATTTCACGTAGCCAGCTGAGAAATCAATCAGAACACATTGTAGGTAACTTGTTATCTCAAGTATTTCCACCGAGATTGATGGAATATTGCTAAAAATGAGATGCTTTAATTGGTTTACAACGCTTTACGAGATATTCAGCCATATCACGAGAGGGGACACCGGAAAAGGGCTTCAAACTGGGGTCTTCTGCGTGGTAATCGAACACTTAACCATTCGGCTTTAAACCATCCCGATTGTTGCTAAAGATGCCAAAAAGACCTCACTCACTAGAATACAATGAAACTTGGAACTATGTTTGGATATGTTGTTGAAAACGATGTGGTTCTATCAAAGTCACTATTGACACCATGTTCCTCTACTCCACACCGTGTGGAGTTTCCAGGGTAGAACATGTCCTTAGTAGCCAGGGTTCGAGGGGACTTGACTTAACTTGCACCAGGTGCATATTGACAAAAAAATCTAGTTGCACCAGACAAAACCAGGTTGCACCCTGGTCCCATTCAATGATCAAAGTTGAAACACAGGTGCATGAAATAGTCTACATTTAGAACCAGATGGTTGTTGACTGTGTCATGATTTTACATCAATTAATGATCTGTTGCTGCTAAACATAATAGGAACGAACACATGATCTTGGACCCGTGAAGCTTCTGGGATAGAATCGGTCTTCAGCAACCCATGCTTGCTGTAAAAGGCGACTATGCTTGTCGTAAAAGGCGACTAACGGGATCGGGTGGTCAGGCTCGCTGACTTGGTTGATGCATGTCATCGATCCCTATTGCGTGGATTGATGCTCATGATATTAATCACTGGATTGTCTGGTTCAGACTCGATTATTTACAGACCGCCGTCATATAGCTGGAATATTGCTGAGTGTGGCGTTAAACAACAAACCAATCAACCAACATGATCTTGAGTACCCACAGTCTGATGTCAAGAAAGCAAGGCAAATTACAAAGAACAGTAACACAGGGACTAGTGATAAATATAGCTAAGCTGTAGTTATAGTGCTTAAAGATCGATGTTGTGTGGAAAAGAAAGGTTAGTTTGATTTTTTTTACATGCACTTTGTGCATGTAGACATAAGTATTTATAGGTTTCACTTTTCAATAAAAGGTTGCACTGGTGCATGTTTTATATAGTTGAATTGAGCCCTGGTAGCCATTGCTTATTGTAAGAGTTGTGATTGTGCCATGATGCCCTGATGGATGATTGTGTGACCTAAATCGATGATTGTGTGACCTGAGTGATTGTGTCGCCATGCCCTGATGGATGATTATGTGACCTGAATAGATGATTGTGTGACCTGAGTGATTGTGTTATCATGCCCTGATGGATGATTGCGTTACCTGAGTGATTGTGTCGCCATGCCCTGATGGATGATTATGTGACCTGAATAGATGATTGTGTGACCTGAGTGATTGTGTTATCATGCCCTGATGGATGATTGCGTTACCTGAGTGATTGTGTCATCATGCCCTGATAGATGATTGTGTGATTGTGTCATCATGCCCTGATGGATGATTGTGTGACCTGTGTGATGGTGTGATCAAGCCCTGATGGATGATTGTGTGACCTGAATAGATGATTGTGTGACCTGAGTGATTGTGCCATCATGCCCCAATTGATGATTGTGTGACCTGAGTTATTGTGTCATCATGCCCCGATGGATGATTGTTGCTCTTGCTATTAGCCACTGGATCGCCTGATTATTTATGGACCTCTGTGACATAGTTCAAATGAATTGCTGAATGCAGCGTAAAACAACATTGACTCACACACTTAAGGTGAAACTGACCATGTAATGTTTTTTTTGTAGTGGAGGTACTGTGTGAGGCTTGAGAACCTGGGGGAGGAGACAGTTCAGCTCAGGGAGAGGCATTGGAGAATATTCAGTCTGTCTGGCACCCTGGAGACAGTCCGCGGGCGGGGAGTTGTAGGGCAGGTAGGTGATGAGACAGTGTTGCTATGGGAGAATATTCATTCTGTCTGGCACCCTGGAGACAGTCTGGGGATGGGAGTTGTGGGTGACTTAACAGTCATCTGAGGCTAGCTAGTTGACTTCTTCTTATCATAAGGGGCACGGGTGGCCCAGTCGTCTTAGGCGCTGCTATTCGCTGTGCAGAGTTGCATCTCTTGGGCACGACAGAAACCTATGATTGTGGGTTCGAATCCTGGTTCACCCCAATTTTGTTTCTAGGTTTGTCAGTACCATACCCGTGCTCGTGGATTTCACCGAAGTGGTAAACGTCTGAGACCTGCATCACTTCGGGCTTTCCTCCCACATTAAGCTGACACGCAGCGATATAACTGTAATACTGTTAAAAGCGGCCTTAAACCTAACTCACTCACTCACTCACTCACTCACTCACTCTTCTTATCATAATCAAGCTGAAGCTGTTTCAATTTTAAGACATGGGTAACATTTTCAGGTTCATTCCACTGATTTTACAGGATGGATTTTCTCTCACTCCTAAATGATCTTTTTACATGTTTTAACTCACTGTAGTTTAAACTTTGTAATTCAGCATGATCAATTTATGATAAAATAAATTCCTCACAAAGTTAAACGTTTATTATGATTCCTGAATTTGTTGTTTCAGGAGCCGATCTTATCTCAAGAGCAGCCAGCCTTTCAGTACAGTAGCCATGTGTCATTACAAGCTCCTAGCGGCCATATGTGGTAGGTACAAGAGTTCTGTCCCTTGTTGTCTTGATTGCCTAGCCTGAAGTTCATCATTATGTCCAAAAACTAGAAGTTTGCAGTATTACCGTTATACTGATAAGCCACGATTTGAAATACTAATGAATATGTATCAGTGCTATCACAATACGTTTGGAAAATACTGGTATATTGCGTTTTTAGAAATAATGCATATTTTATCTTGTTAGCAAAGTGTACGTAAGTAACAAGTCGAACTGAAATTATGAAATTCAAAAGTAAGCGACTTGATTCATGTGATCAAAAACAATTTAGACTATTCATGACCTGATTCCTGTGTTAAATGTTGTTGTGACTACAGCAACATCCAACAAAATGGAGGATGCTAAACGTGAATAATTATTGCCATAAAATTCAATACAAAAGTCACAAGTCAGAACAGTTAAATTTTGATGATTTGAGGAAGTATTCCTCTTATATTGAACAGGAACAAGCCTTATTTTGGAACCTCTATCTTTAACAGGGGCACGTACAAGATGGAGAGAAGAGACGGAACTACTTTCGACTGCAAGATTCCTCCATTTTCATTAGAGAGTAAATCAGAAGACAATACAGGCCCACATGCCTTCCTGGGAAGCTAGCACTGTGTTGCTATGGTTACTGCATGGACATGTGTCTTGGGTGTCATTGCCATGGTTAAGGACTGTATGTATCGTTACTGGGGTGTTGTTACCATGGTTACAGACGCCATGGACTTGTTACAAGGGTGTTCGTTACTGACAACCGAAGATGTGCGCCGTGTGTGAAAACTACTGGAAGAGCACATAAAAGAATCTGTATATACCATTGTTTTCTTTAGGCTGTATATACCGCATGTTCTGTGGACTGTATATAGCAAGTGTTTGATGGAGAGATTAATGTTTCCTCAGTGGAATTGTGCCCGAGCAATGGTGTGTGTTATTGGGGACATCTTATTAGCTTGTCTGAATTTGTTTCCTACCTTTTCGTACTGTTAACATTCAGATTTATTCTACTCAAAATTTTGCTATCTTTCCTACATACTTCTGTCTCAGGTCATGCCAAAAGTAAAATTCATTTCCGTTGATTAATCAAACAAAATGGAACCTTAATATTCTAAATTACCTTCTTGTTTGTAAATTGAATAAAGATGGATAGGCATATTCACAGCTTCAGAAAACATATAACCTAGATATGACAGATTACCTGTAGTAATATGAAAGAATCAAGTGTTCTTCTGTTTAGCATTTCAAATTCAACAAACCTTTCGACCGTTGTAATTCTGACAGATTTAAGTGGTTTGACAATTCGAGGTTCTTCTCGAGAAAGCAGATCTGTTTGTACTTATTGATGAAGTAGCCTGTGGGACATGCTTGATGATCCAGGGGAGTATATCTCCATTGTCTTGAGATAAATACCCTTGACCTTTCGCCACCACAGATTTGTTCGGGGTTCGTGGTTAAAGCGTTAGCTCGTCACGCCGAAGACCCGGGTTTGATTCCCGACATGGGTACAATGTGTGAAGCCCATTTCTGGTGTCCCCCGCCGTGATATTGCTGGACTATTGCTAAAAAGCGGCGTAAAACCATACTCACTCACTCATAGATTTGTTTTGAGTCTGATTTGACTGACATGATGCTGAAATTACCGTCCTGCCAATCTTACACTGTTCTTACACAATTAAAACTAGCACTGATATCACCAGTACTTGCCTGTACTTGTTGCTTACTGTCTCAACACACTCGTGATATCACTGCTAGTTTCAAACGGCAGAGACAGGAAAGAGGTATGTCATACATGGCATAACATATAGATTAAATATGGTAAGATGAAAGAATTGGGTGTTTTGTATCTTCATTGGAGTAGTATAAGTTAAAGTTTGACAGTTACAGTACTACAATCACTTTTTACATTGTTCTTAACTATAGTCTGGAAGGTAATTTAAGGTACGGACGTTTATTTCAATATCTGAAAAACTATCAGACCTACTCCAGTCAAAGTTGGTATGAGATTATTAAACAGTCATACATAACTGGATATTACATTTAAAGACAATCGGTGCATGAATAAAAAATCTGTCTATTTAGCTATCACTATATTTCATCAACAACCAGACCTGTTCGTCACGGGTGGAACGAGCATTCATTGTAACAGCCATCTGCATAATGCTACCCCTGCGTCACAGGGCCATATGAGACAGTTGAACCAATCAACTCAACTCGAAAGGTTGCACGGGAATCAAGCACGTTGAGACGCCCAACGCTAACACCATATTCGTGCATGCGTGCGTCTCATACTATCTTTGACTGGAGTAGGTCCAATAGTTTTTCAGATATTGTAGTAAACGTCGGTACCTTAAATTACCTTCCAGACTATAATGTGAGATGTTTTTTGCCAAATATGGACGCGGAGTGAAGAGTGATGTACATGCAGGTTATTATAAACCCATGGGCTTGGATCAAAAGCCAAAGAGACTATTTCAGTGTAAGATCTTTTACTCTCAGACATAGCTTCCTTATGCCATTCACAGTCACAGTTAAATGTTTGGCCTATCTGCTCATTCTTTTGGCTTTTGAACCCAATGATGTGACCCTATGACGTGACCCTGTGATGTGTTACAACTATACGTCCTTAGTTTGTTAAGGATATTAGTTGACACTGTTAAGCATTTCAAACACAACAAACTTTTCATCCATTGTAATTCCGACAGATTTAAGTGGTTCGAGAATTCGATGTTCTTCCCGAGAAAGCAGATGTATTTGTACTTATTGGTCAAGTAGCCTGTGGGACATGCTTGACTAATGTGAAATGCTTGTTGCCCAATATGAACGTGGAGTGATGTACATGCAGGTTATTATAAACCCATGGGCTTGGACGAAAGACAGAGAGACTATTTCAGAGACTGTTAACATGGATCTACAGGGAAGTGCAGGAGACCCACAGATGTATGAGTATGGTGTGAATAAACATGGATTTTGTGATGTTTTGTTCTGATTATGTCACTTTAATTCTGCACAGTTCAAGCCATGGCTCACCATAACACAAAGTACAGAGTTAATGATGTGGTATAAACTATGTGTTACTGTGAACCACGGTATAAACTCTCTAGCTTGTGTTAAGGCGACACAAGTTAGAGTGTGTAACTGTTAAATATATGTTTAGCTAGAGAGTTTATACCACGGTTCACCATATCTTGGGATACAGAGTTTATACCATGGTTCACCATATCTTGAGATACAGAGTTTATACCATGGTTCACCATATCTCAAGGTACAGAGTTCATATGGTTCAGGATAACACAAGATACAGAGTTTATACCACGGTTCACCATATCTTGGGATACAGAGTTTATACCATGGTTCACCTTTACAATGGGTACTGAGTTCACACCATAACACAAGGTACAGTGTTCATACCATGGTTCACCATATCTCAAGATACAGTATATACCATGGTTCACCATTAAAATAGGTACTGAGTTTATGCCATGGTTCACCATATCTCAAGGCACAGAGTTCATATCATGGTTCACCATAACACAAGATACAGAGTTTATACCATGGCTCACCCTATCTCAAGATGCAGAGTTTTTACCAAGGTTCACTGTTACAATAGATACAGAGTTTATACCATAACACAAAGTACAGCGTTTATACCATGGCACACCATATCTCAAGATACAGAGTTTATACCATGGTTCACTGTTACAATAGATACAGAGTTTATACCATAACACAAGATGCAGAGTTTATACCATGGCTCACCATATCTCAAGATACAGAGTTTTTACCAAGGTTCACCGTTACAATAAGAACTGAGTTTATACCATGGTTCACCGTTGCAATAGGTACTGAGTTTATACCATGGTTCACCATCACACAAGGTACAGAGTTTATACCATGGTTCACCATGACAATAGGTACTGTGTTTATACCATGGTTCACCGTGACAATAGGTACTGAGTTTATACCATGGTTCACTATCACACAAGGTACAACGTTTATACCTTCTGTTCATGTCAGTACCTTGTGTGCTCTGGTTTTGTTTTCACTCTTGAGTGGAGTAGTTTCCACATTTCAACTCTGGGACGACTATCAACAAAGCCTCCATGGCGGGTCGGATGCCCAGTCGTCTAAGGCGCCGCGATTCGCTGTGCAGAGTTGCGTTCCTTGACCATGCCAGAAACCTATGATAGTGGGTTCGAATCCCGGTTCGCCCCGATTATATTTCTAGGTTTGTCAGTAGCATACCCATGCTCGTGGGTTTCACTTAAGTGGTAAACGTCTGAGACCTGCATCACATCGGGCTTTCCTCCCACATTAAGCTGACACGCCGTGATATAACTGGAATACTGTTAAAAGCGTCGTTAAACCCAACTCACTCACTCACATGTATATCATCGGCAAACAAAAGGAGAAATAACTTCACGTTCCAGGAGGTGTTTGTATACCATCTTTATAATTTGTCTTCATTTGCTCGGCTGATTCTTTTTTTTCACTCCATGGCGAGTAAGAAAACAAGTCAGGAAATGAATGTAACCGAAAATTCTATATTTCTTTGGGACTGCTTTGTCATCTAAATTCGAATCTCAATTAGATCTACAGGTCAATGCAACGGTTCATTAATTGTCTAAACACACCTCTATCTTTGATGGACCGCCTCCGTGGTCTTGTGGTAGAGCGTCCGCCCGGAGAGCGGAAGGTCCAGGGTTCGATTTTACAAAAAGACGCTAAAAGATTGTACTTGTTGTTACCCTGTCTGGCGCTCGGCATTAAGGGGCTAAAACAAGGACTGGTCGGCTCGGAGTCAGTATACTGTGTCTGAGTGGGGTATTCATGTTAAACTGCGGCATGGTATCTCTGAGCTAGCACTATAAATCGGCATCAGTCCGGACTAGTACAAGCAGCCACACACACACATATACGTGCATGCACGTCGCTATATAAGTGCAATAATCTTGGACGCGACGTTAAACCCAATTTCACCTCACCTCACCTATCTTTGATGATTTCATGTTCCACACCCCGTCCTTACTAATAATATATCCTGTAAGCTGTTCTCTGTTCACTGAAAACATGATCTTGGCTGAGGGCATGAAAGGTGACGCATGGTCTTTCGAAACCCACAAGCGCGCAGACGACACTATCTTGACACGCGATTTAGTTTAGCTGCGCATGAGCAGTTGGCGAGACAGGTTAATACAACAGACTATGGCTCTTTTGAGTTTGTGAATAAGCTGAACGATGGAATATGTTGCAAGAGTACTGTTGGCATATGCTTGTTTTGTAATAGCTACAGATACAATCGCGATTTATCAATACGCTTCATGATTAATGTTTTGATTCAACTGGAGTCTCGTCTCTAAAATTACCGGAATGACTTCATGTTCAAGCATGTTGAATAGATCAAATTCTGTGTATAACTACAGGGAACATATTATTCTGCTCTTTGTGCAAAACCTACACGAAATTCCATGACATTCCCCATTAACATTTGTTAAAAAGAAGAAAATAATGTGTGGATCCTATTGCAACGTCCCATTGATACTGTCTATTTTCAGTTGAAATAAGGGGGCACAGGTGGCCCAGTCGTCTAAGGCGCCGCGATTCGCTGTGCAGAGTTGCGTCCCTTGGGCATGCCAGAAACCTATTATTGTGGGTTCGAACCCGGTTCGCCCCGATTATCTCTACCATACCCGTGCTCGTGGGTTTCACCGAAGTGGTAAACGTCTGAGACCTGCATCACTTCGGGTTTCCTCCCATATATAAGATATAACTGGAATACTGTTAAAAGCGGCGTTAAACCTAACACACACACACACACACACACACACACACACACACACACACACACACACACACACACAGTTGAAATAAATCTCCTGCTTGTCGTCTGTCTGACTAAAATAGTGGACCAGGAAAGAAGGGTCGCTCCTTGAATTTGTGAAGTTCTGAGAAAGGGTTCCACAAAGGGGTCTTAGGGCAACAGCTATCGTATTTGCCATTCATTCACTCAAATAATGCAAAACGTATCATATAATAGTTTGATAATTGACCATGAACTCAAATCGAACTTAACAGCTAAAATATACACTGTACTGCACAAACATGTTTTGACGACCTATCATGTCAAGTGACAAAAGCGATTGCTTTACTTTCAAAACACTTGTTTTATCATCTTTTTGCACACTACCCCACAAGATAAACTTGAGGAAGAACTTTATTCCTTGATCCACGGGACTTTTGTCACCAAACGTGGTGACAGTCGATAGCTGACTTAAAGTTTCAGGACAATTTGTCAATAATCAAAGCAAATGTCATAGGAACTTTCTGTTTCATATCATATCTGTTTCATATTTTGATTAATGCTTAAAAACAAAAAAGTGACAAAAAAGCTCACCAAAAGAGTGTATGATGAGAAAGGACTTTCCAATGGTCAATTATTCCTTCATGTCGAGCCAT